CTGCTTCCCATTTTCCTGTACAGATGCCAGTTTCACTAAGAAGTCTGGTTTTGGAGTTCTTTTCTAGTAGGCAACTGCTGCTGAAACTTGTGTTGATGTGGCTTTTGGTTGTTGGTTTTGGTTTGTTTGGGGTTTTTGTTGGTTGTTGCTTTTTTATTATTTTTTTCTTTTTTAAAAGCATGCTGGGGTGGGGGTTGATAGAGGAAAGCGTGAGACAGGATCATAGGTAAAAGCTTAGAAATTCTGGAAAACAGTCTTAGCAGCAGTCAAGAAACCACACATACTCTTTGATATTTAACTTGATGATGTAAGTACTCTTCTCTTATGTGCTCGGAATACACCCCTGAACCTGGTAGTACATCCTCCTCCTTATCCTCAAGGCCTCTCGGTACCCTGAACTACTGTCTTCTAACCCTGTTGACTGAAAAGGCACATCTTCTCCCACTGGTCTCTTACTTGCTGTGACTTGGGGAAAGATTCTCACTTCAGTGTTTCACTAAATTCCAGCATAATCTGGGGAAATCAGAAGCCAGTGTTGCTTAATGAGTTGGTTCAGTTCTTGTAGGCAGAGGCCAAGACTACTTTCATCATCGCTGTTTAGCAGGTTGCTCCTTTGGGATGAGCTGTAAAACCAGAAGTATTTGTGCCAAAGTTTGCCCAGCATTTCAACAATTCAAGTTCTTTCTGCTTTAGCAATTTATGGAAGTCCAGGGTAGGCTTCGTTAATTCATTTTGAGGCTTTATTCAAGAGCTTGAGTAATACAGCTCACTTTCCAGAAAAGCAACAGTCACAAGGCATGTGTGCAATGAGAATGTTTCGGGGGGGTTTAACCCAAACAAAAAAAAAAAAACCAAACAAACCAACCACCAAACCGGTTCTGTAAACAGGGCTGAACTATCTCCATTAGATCATGGCCCCTGTGCCTCAAGAAGGTCTGAAGATCTGTAGCCTCTTTGTCCATTCTTGCCAGATAGTTATTCACATGCTCTGGATACTTAATTGCTTTTGCACCTCTGAATATTGTGGGCATAAAGCAGTTATTTCTAGTTGTACTATACTAAGTAGTTCAGTAGAAAAATTCCATTTCAGTACCACTAAAAGCAAATAGCAGATGTGACTTGAAACTGCCTCAACTAAACAGTTCAGCAGCACCTGTCAAAACAGATCTTGCAGGCACCTCATTTAATGCTGGATGACTAAGCCATGGAAAAGCGATTGCCTAAGCAGTGGGCCTCCATAGGAAGTACTATGCTTATTTTAAAAAAAAAAAAAAGCAATTTATTTCTAGCTTCAGACCACTCTGATACAGCACACACAGCTTGGTGCTTTGGGTGTTCTGTATTTTCAGTTGCTCCTCTGCTCTTAGTGCACCTCAGTAACACTCAGCTGTAGCTAATGAGAGCTGATAAAGGAACACACTGATCCGAGTATTTACTGGATGTCTAAGGGCTATTGTCAGTAATTGCCATTTCTTTGTCATGAATCATTACAAGAAGCTGATACATATCCCTACTCAGGCCCTCTGCAAGAGCTTCCCCCTACCATTTTTCCAGATGCTTCTCATGCACAGATGATAGAATACGTAAGATAAAACAGAATCAAAAATGGTTTTATTTTGATGAAAATTGATGCACAGATGATAGAATACGTAAGATAAAACAGGTTTTATTTTGATGAAAATTAAAGAGTGGGTTTGGTTTTTCTGCAGCAAAATGCTAGCTGGTTCAAAAGCGTTCGACTAATGTGACAGAAGAAAATCTCTACCACCTTACCTCCTTTGCATAGTTCTAGGTTAAGATCCCACAGGTAATTCTGAGTTTGTTACTAGTGATGGATTGCAGCGTTACTCTTGCATGAGCTGCTTGCATTACCCTGTTTCAAACAACAAGACCATGGTGCAGGAGGAAAGACCTGCTTTGCCAGTATATTTGCACTTCAACTTCAGGGATATTTTTTTTTTTAATCTAAGACAGATGTTGGTTAAATATACATAACATTGTAATAACTCCCTCCGGATGAGAAGCATTGCAGAGGCTTTATGGAACACAAGTTACATGATGAAAGCCTTTTGGAGAGGGGGGATTGAAGGAATAAAAACTTAATTGAAGAACACTTCAGAGGTAGAAAAAAATGCCATTTTGACATGCTGAATCTGAGACTTGGACCAAATTCCCTCAGTACCAAGCTGTGAAAGGCTAGTGGGATTTCTCATAACCAACACACTAGCAATTCTTTTGACTGCTGAGAGGAGCATAGAAAATTGTTGCTAACCTGTAAGGATAATTCAGTCTGAACTTCATTAAACAAAGGTTCAATTTTTTCTTAAATTCTTTGGTACCTTTTAAATGCAAAGCAGCGGCTTTTTGTTCTGTCAGTTGTTTCTTTTGAAGAAGCAAAGGTATCTTTTAACTGCAGGGTTGTCTGCCCCAGAGGGGTTTTAAATTTCAAGGTACTATAAAAATGAAAGTGTGTTCCACTTCGCATAAATTAAATACCATGCAATGCAGGTGACCTTCCCACATGGCCAAGCGCCGTCTCCTATCGCAGACACAGAATTGTGCTATGGATTTAAGTCACATACCACCTTGCTGGTACCTAGGCTTCCTTTCCCATCTCATTTCAGAGAGGAACGAAAATGCAAACTAATGTAAGAAATAAAGTCACAAGTGATTCCCAAAGTATGGGTACTTGCATTTCTTTGTTCAGCTCTACATTCTTTATTAATAGAATTCTTCTGTTTTCCTTTCTAAAGGGGTTCAAAAGTAAAAGTTCTGGTGAACGGGTGGTGAGACTCATTACATCAATCTATTTTTTAAAATACATTTATAACATTTACATGTAGCTATTTGTATGCCAAATGACAGAAAATGCATGTGTGTGTATTGAACCTTCAGGTCTTAAACTATTTTGGATAGAGTTGGAACAGGTGATCGCAGACAGTCCATAACATTCCTCTCAGCAACTCCTGCTCAAAGCGTTTCCGTTCTTGCCGAGCGAAGTCACATACAGTATGTGTTGGAATCCCTTTATATAACACTTCACAGTAGAGTCATTAGCAGCCCACAGAAATATTTTGTCCTAATCTATGGATTAGGACCAAGAGAAACACAAAACAGCCTTACTAGTGGAATCTGTGGAGACATTTTAGAGACGATTCCAGCAACACACCATGGAAATTGCCCCCGATGTAAGGAGTCATCTTCTTGTCTCCTCAAAATTCTGAGCATCATGGGGCCTTTCTTGACCAAGCATGAATCTGAAGTACAGCCTCTGCAAACCTCAATGCCATGTGGCTTGCAGTACTGAGCTCTCTGTGCCTCAGTCGTTTTAAGTAAGTACCAAGATAAGGAAAAATCCCTGCGTGGAAAATGGCAATTGCAGATAGTGCAATTACAGGGGGTTGTTAGAATGGGAAACAGTACTGCAGACACCTCCCAAAACTGCGTGAGATACATGTACGAGCTAACTTTGCTAGCTTCTTACTGTCAAAATGGTGACCAAAGTCCTTATTTATTGCAGCTGGCATTCAGATGTTGTATAAGTAATTATTTGCAAACCTGCAATTGAAGCAGAATGTGTCTTCCGTAGTTACCCCATGAATTAAATCCCGTAAACCTCACTCATCCACATATGAAGAGTTTAAAGAAAGTCAAAACAAATCATTTTCTATAATAAGCCGGACACCTTCAAAAGCCTGTTAAGACGGTCAGCTTTAGGAGCCTCATTACAGGGTAATTAGTTGCATCTGGATGTTCCTCAGGAGCAAATTAACTGTGTTTTAAAAAGCATCGCATAAGACGAATTCGTCCCTTTGGGCAGCTGCACAATCATCATCTGGGAAGCCATGTAACCCTTTTCTTGCCCCTAACATCCATTCCTGTGAGTGCCAGCCACTGAGCCAATATTAAAACACGTTATGAACATGACAAAGAGAAACTGAGTGTTTATGTATCAGCCACTATGTGCAGCCTGGATGGCGGTTGGTTTGGTTCTGTTCTGTTTCTAAAAGAACAAGGCTTGTGATACTGCGTACCACTGGAAAGGTGCAAAAGGCATAAGCAAGCTGAATTCAGCATGTAGCAGTTCTGCTCCAGTCGGGAAGCAAATAAATACACTGAAATGCAATTAGGATAAATCAAATATGCACCACAATTATATGGCACATGGCAAGCAGACTCCGAAAGCGAGTGGGGTATTTTTGCATCCTAACATTTCCTGTATTCCCAAAGCAGATTCTTTCCTTATTATTGCATTTTTGAGATATAATTAGATAGCCTCAAAATATCTTTTTTCTGTAACAACCTTTTTTTGAAAGTCAAGCCTTTTTCTTTACTAATTGACTTGCAGAGGAACTGAACAGCATCACCATCAAAATACAGTAACATGACTTAATATTCCCTGTCCAATAGTTAAGGAAGCAGAAGGATGGGGAGAGCGTGCAACTAGTGTACAACTAAATTCTAGTACTATTAACAGGTAAACTTGGTGCTATGTCTCGAGTAGTGCATATAGTTTGTCTTTTAAAATATATTGGCATTAAAAAAAGAAACATCTAATCAGTTTATACTACCCCCCACGCACAGACACAAAACAAAATCTGCCTTTTTGCTCAATACCGATACCAGGACAAAAGGGAGACACTAGAGTGCAGCCCACTGTGTTGGCCATCCTGCCCTTCAAACACTGCTCTCTCCATCTTGTGCAGGGGTCTTACCTGCATGCTGAAAAGCTAGAGGATGTAAAGAACC